TTCCAGCTCTGGCTGACTCTCTGGATTAAGTGTCATTAATCTTTTCTCCTGACTTCTCTCTGTTGTTTTTTTCTGCCCTCTCCCGTCTTTACTTCAAATTGGACGTACTTCATGAAATGACGTCTAGGTAGTTCAGCTGTTCTATTGAATTGAACTTAAAATTTTGGATGAAGTACGTTTTAAGTGATTTTAAACTTAAAGCTAATGTGAAAATGTTGGAATTTGTACCAATACAAACATATTAAACTTAAAGCCATATCAAATCCGTGTAAAGTTACATTGTGTCCCTTCTATTAGAAATCTTAAAGGCTATAATTCACTTTCTGAGTCATGATGTAATTTAGGTTATATTTTATTAGACATTTTTTACAAATTTAAAATACTGCTATTTTTACATGCACAGAGGAAAAATCAGTTTGGATAATTATATTTAGGCATTCGTGAAAATCAACCACAAAATAGAGACACTTTATTGTGTCATTTATCAACATACTTGATATGTATATCTAAAGTGCATTATGTTACAAAAAAATATAGAAATTCAGCAGCACCAAGATACATTTACAAAATAAATACATCAGTTGACAAAATAAATTATGGTAAATGTGATAATAATAATTGGATTAGCCTTGGAAAAAATATTCACAATGACCAATGTGCAGTTTCATAGAGCAATGAGGGAGACCGTTTTATTCCAATGCATTTACAGTATTTACAGACAATAAATATTTCTAATACTTTCCATATGTTCACTATTACAGAATTCTGTAATATGTCTTCTGAAGGTCTTTGCAAAAATTTCAATGCCTCCTGAAAAGAGAGGGAAGAGAAAGAAGGAGAGAAAATAGGTTAATTATCCTTACAAATGCAGAGACATAAAATAAAGGGTATAAATTAAGGAACATAGAATCACATAGAAAGAAATCTTGGGGCTTTTTGTAAATATCTCTTATAATAGGTGACTGTGGGGTCCACCTGAATCTCTAGAACTGCTGCTACAGTATTTAATCCAATCAAATGGTCAGTGTAGTGCAGAAAGAGACAGGCTGGCATTTCTAATATACTCTGTCAGGAAAAAGACCCTGTGAGATTTTCCAAGGCTGCCAATTGGCGAGTTTGGGAAGAGAAGGCACATGTTTGAGAACCTGGAAATCAAGCTAGGTTGTGCAATCCATCATCAAATACACCTTGCTTAGAAGTTTATTCCCCAGTGATGCCTGATGTAGGTGATCCACAGGTGTCCTATTTTTCCGATCCCTTGCTAAGATAACGGCTGTTGTGAGGGTAATCAAAAGTGTGTAATGGGATAAATGTTGGAAGGATGCATAATTAAACAGAGTATATTTGTTTAATGATTTGATGACATTTGTCATTTTCTTTTTTAAAAGTATGTCTTTATTGATTTCAGAGAGAAGAAGGGAGATGGAGAGAGAGAGAGAGAAACATCAGTGATGAGAGAGTCATTGACCGGCTGCCTCCTGCACGCCCCCCACTGGGGACTGAGCCCGAAACCCGGGCATGTGCCCTGACCGGGAACCACACCAGCCAGGCGACATCTGTCATTTTCTTAACTGTTCTTAAACACTAATGACTGAAACTATTATTGAAATTTAGTTTTTGAAGCCAAAATTAAGATAGAATTATTTGTTTCTCATTTTGTTGTTGTTGTTCTTGTTGTTTTTTAATGAATCTTGCATTAGAAACTGGGAAAGCCTATTTTAAATTAGAGAAAAGTAACCAATTGATTTAAAAGCATAAAATAGCACAAGCAAGGAGGGAACGAATAGCATTTTGAACAATTATTTTCTCAGAGGGGAAGAAAGACGAAAAGGAACAAATTAAAGGACCAAGGGAAAGATCATTTAATTATATTTTACACTGCCCGGCCAGCGTGCTTGTTGTCCTTCCTTTTGATGTCCCTTTAACAAAGGCATGTACTGGAATAGCCAAGGAAAACCTATAACATGACCTAAGACTATGCGTGTATGTTTATTATATGTGTGTGTGATGCTTGAATCCTGGCTCTTTTGAATACTGAAAAGCTTTTATATTATTTCTAAATCAGTATTTACCAAGACAGAACATATGTTCTCAATGAAATGAGTCCTACTGATCTGGATATATTATTTGTAACATAAAAATTTGCGAAGTTTAAAGCTCTATATTTCCCATAGAATGGTCCATGAAGAGAAGCCAGAGTTTTAGCACAGCAATTTCTGTTAAGAACTAAGATATGTCTTATAATAAAGTTCATGTTTGCCACCTCAGGCCTCTTAGATCATCAGATCATAGTGCAGAGACTACAGAGAGGATGGTAATAAAAGTTTGGCTGCTTAAAATCTTTAAAATTGTTATTCTGAAAAGATTCTATTTGTACTACAAAATTTACATGGCCCCATATGTTCTCATCAATACACTTCTACATTTCCCCCACTCTTCCCTGCACCTCTGCTGGGCTGTATTGGGAGAGTGCCAACATCTGGCTGCCAAACAAACAGTGCTTTCCATGAACGCTCCTCACAACCAGGGGATAGAAAGGAGAAGCAGAAACATTCTATTTCTCTCAGGCCTGGGTCTGGATTTGATTAGGCCACTGCCTAATTTTTACTAGATCTACTTTAACTTAAGGATAGCTTTGGAATAAGAATTGACGAGTGCTGATTTTCATTAATTCTCTGGATACTTAAGAGCATTGCAAATTTTAAATGCATAAAATCCATCAAAAAGTATGTATACTTCTGTGTTCAAAATAAACACACACACACACATATATATTTAGAGAAAGTAAGACAATGGATAAAAATAGATTCTGGCAATAGAGTCCTTGCTTTAGTTATAAATGAGTACAGTTAGGATCATATCTTATAATACACTGAATATCAGCACCGAGCCAACATTTATAAGGTCTGTAACCCCTTACAGATCCATTGGACACTAGCAGAATAGGTCATCCACTGTGCTAAAGATTTCACTAGTGCCACTGTCCACTGATCACTGAAGCTGTACTACTTGTCCAATATAATTATCCTTTCATATGCTATTTAGTGATGGGTTATGTCGACTTAAAGAGAGAAGTGATGGTAAATAGGTTCAAACTCCCCTTTGAAACATCACTCTGTGGTCCTATCTCTAGTCAGAGTAAAGAAGTGAAGGAACAGGGGACTCCTTAAATAATGAGATCATTAGCTGCATATGATGCATTCGTGTGTTGTTTTCCTCTTTCTTCAAACCCCATAGAAGAGCTGTACTGAAAAGTAAGAAACAAAAAATATCCTAATAGTGGAAATGCACAGATCAGGAGGCAGCGCTAACGGCAGTGGCCTAAGAGCCAGGAAATGGGGAAACAAATGCAGTTCTGAGGACGACCCGTCCCACGACCCCAGCTCCCAGCACTGCTCGGGCCCTCTCACCACAGAGTGCCTTGGTTTTCTAGTTTATAAAATGAGATTAATATTTGCCCGTTTTTCGTTTTTGTTTTTGCCTCAGATGAACAGACACCGATATAGATAGAACGAACAATCAGAACCATGTCTAAAAGCGTCAAAACAACAAGTTGCAATTTATTGAGTTTTTACTATATGACATTTAACCCATGTAATCTCACTTAATCTTTATCCAACCCAGTGAGGTTGGTACAATTACTTTTATTTCAGAGAAGAGGAAAGTGAGTCTTAGAAAGACCAAGTAACTTATCCAAGGTTGTGAACTTGAATGTTCAGACCCAAAATGTAAAGCTAAGGTATTTGGCTCTGAAGTCTGTGAGTGTCATTACTACCTGCATCTGTGAGCTAATAAACAAGCCACAGAGATGTGAAGTTTTATTATTCTTATTGTAATACTCTAGAAAAACTATTGCCACTTGCCAGTGGACAAACAGATATGTGGGAAAAACATATCCTTCCCAAGCCAATACTTAAAAATTTTCAGAAATCATGGTTTTTTTCCTTTATAAGCTGGTAGAAACCAGAATTAAATTTAATTAAATACATTTAAAGTGTGTGTTTAAAATTTTAATTTATTTAAATAAATATAAATTTAAAATCTAATTAAACCTAATGAAATACAAATGTGAATGTCTCAGGATTGTTTATGGTAAGATACTGTTCTATAGTTTTTGTAGATCATACCAAGGCCTTCTATGTTCTTCCTGAAGTGAGAAAAATAAAAAGAAATGAAACTCGACCAAGGAAGTTTGCTAAGGGGTGTGTGTGTGTGTGGGGGGGCACTTCTCTAGCAAATAATGAGGGTGATCAGGAGCTTCTGAAGCTTGAACAAGAATGAGATTCTTTAGTGGAGCCCTGAAAGGTCGGTGTTGGGAGCGCGAAGATGGAGAGAAAGCGGTTGTGAAGGCCCTGGGTGTGTTCTGGGGGCAGGAGGACACTGCTCTAAGTCAGGCAATATTCTGAGTCATCTTGGTTTTGCAAGGTTTCAACTGTGGAGCGAGTGATGGGGGCAGGGGCTCAGGAGGGCGGGTCAGTTACCGGGAATTGAGCTCCAGCGAGGCGGCGTCGTCGGACGGGTGGCGCCCCTCGAGGCCGGAGGCCGGCCCGGCCGCGCGAGTCCGCCGCTTCTTCTTCTCCTGCTCCTTGCGTTTGCCGGGCTTGCCTTTCTTCTTCTTGCCGGGCGTCTTCAGTGGCTGCTCCTTGTAGGTCTCCACCTTGTTGGTTTCCTGAGTCAGGTATCTGCCCTCGTCGTCGGACCCGAATCGGACGGGGTGGTTCTTGGTGTTGGGGGCGGGCTTGGAGTTGGGGGAGACCTCGGAGGTAGTTCTGATCTCAGCCGTGTGGATTTCCGCGATCAGGTTGTGGAGGAAGAATCGCCGCCGCAGGTCCTGGATGGACTTGCCCTTGTCATGGAGGAGCTGGTGTTCAGACACGGCCCTCTTGCTGTAAGGGAGCGATTGCAGGGGAGAAAGCAAGCAGGGACATTTTAGCTGCTGGTAGAATCCACCCAGACGCGAGGAAGGCCCTTCCGCGCCCCAGGCGCCGCGCACAGGGCACAGGCCGCCAGGGGTGCCAGCCGGGAGCGGGGCAGGGCCGCGGAAACGCAGCTGGCGCCTGGCTCAGGGCGCCGGCTCTGCCGCTCGCTCCGTCTGTGACCTTGGTGAGAACACAGGCATTCCTGGGCCTCCGGGGTCCCATCTGTTTCAAAGAAATGGGTCAGATTCTGTGATTCCTATGCTCCCTTCTCCGTCTAAATGATTCAGTTATTCTCAGAAATGGACAGAAACCACTGAACTGCTTTTCATATTTTTCAGAGCTATGCCGGGGAAATAAATCCAGAGGTCCTAGCCTGGGAAATAAAACGGAGGCTGATTTTACCTGAGTACTTGCCTCAGGTGTGTGTGTGCCCACGCACATATGTAGTGCACACACACACACACACACACACACACACACACACACACTGCTCCCCCATTAAGAAAATAATCATACTGAATCTCAAAGAACAGCGAGCTGTAAGAGTAAAAGCAAACAAAGACTGAAGGGTAAAGTGAGCAGTGAAGCCTGTCTAGGAAACCACCTAACAGACTGAATTTTAACATGTTAGACTACAGGCTACCAAGAACCTGTATTTGAAGGCCAACTGTCAGAGAAAACATGCATAATTTTCTGTAAAGTAGTGGGTGGTCTATTTAAAATGGGTTTCTTTGTGTGTTTAAATTTTGTGAGATCATTTTATTTCTTCTGTGCGTTTTTTTTATTTATTTAGAATTTCAGAGAGTATTATCCTTAGTACTTAGTTAAGAGATTCATTTTTTTCTACTTGTTCTTTGTCTTAAAAGTATCTCTTCAAACAAATATGCTATGATTTTTCTACATAAACAACAATCTCATAAAAATATAGTGAAAAAGAATAAACTAATTTGCTATCAGTCTTTTTAGATGATACCCTGGCTCTTGCTTAAACATCCACCCATGAATTCTTTTATTAGTCTGTATATGTATATTATTAAACATATTTAAGGAGGACATACATTAATCAGTCATATTAACTCTGCCTATTTCTACCATTGAAATAAACTTCTGAAATAAACTTTTGAAAACTTCGTTTTCAAAAGTCTCTGAGGATATTTCACAGGGCTACATCCTGTGTATGCTCACTTTCCTGGCACAGTGGTATCAGAGTCCCTTATTGCTTTCACTAGGACAACTTCTTTAACTCCTCAAAGAAATATGACAATAATAAAGCACTGTCCTCATTTTTACCGATGGGGAAAGTGAGGTTCAGAGAGAGAGAAAACGCCTCACCTTTGCCCATACAATGAAACCAGGCTGAGCCCAGGTTCCACAAATGAGTTCTTTTGATTTAAACCCAAATTGCTTTTTACCTTCCTCAACTCTTTCTCCTGCTGAAGCTGAAGTGTATGTTGAGGAAACAAGAAAAAAAGGGCACAGAGTGAAAAACCTGTGATGGGAGCCAGGACAACGGGCAGATGGGCAGCAATCTATCACTTTGCTTGAAGACCAAGCTTATTGCCCCAAGAAGTCCATTTTCAAGAACTAGGATACCTAGCGTTTGGATTTTCACTGAGGGAAGGAGAGTCACATTGTGAAGCAAAGGGTAAAACATGAAAAAAAACACTCATTATTTCTCTGGATCTTACAGCTAGAATGCCAGCTTCCTTTTAATATTTCAGTGTGTGGACTGACTTTAAGCCATGTAGCTTGTTCAAAAAAGACATGACTTAATGGAAAGGAATTTAACAGGAGCCCGGTTTAAATGAGGCATGAAGGAGTCTCTCTTCCTTTTCGAAGGTGCCACATGTGACTAGATTAAAATTCACTTACTTTGTGGCAATAGTTAGTATTCTGGAAACTTTTAATAATCTACAAATTTGAGGCTTTGGTACAACATATTTATAACCTCTAATAACATTTTTAAAGAATAGGACTGATATAATTGTATATTTCATAAGTATTGCAGTTTAGTAAGTATCTTTTAGCAAAATGTCACATTAAATAGTTCTTAACCAATGATCATTCATAGTATTCGGAGATTTTATTTCTTTCTCAATTCCTGGCAGATATCCACCCCATCTGTACTGTTCTCCAAATGTATAATACAACCCATTCTAGCTTAACCTGAAACCAAAACTTTTAATGGTTGGTCTGATCTAATCAAGCCACATTGCTCATGCCCCCTCTGACTGGCATATATGCCTGTTATTTTGGCCAGCCTGTCAACTGTGAGTCACAGTGCCCTCCTAATTCAAGTGCTGCACTTTCCCAGGATAGTTCTCATGGGAAAAGGAGTGATCATTCTGTTCTTCTCTTGTATAAAAAGCCTACAATATGGCACGACTCTGTCCAGTTTAAAATAGAACATCTCTTGTGAGGTACAAAACTTCCTTTCTGCCTTTTAGGAGTAATTGTTAATATATTAGGAAACGCAGACTTTCTTAAATGCTAAAGCTGAAATACTGTTACATAATTTACTTAGTAATTCGAAGACTTCTGTATTTAAACTATTGTGAAGAATGAATTTCTAACTGGTGATCTGCATTAGAGGATCAGGAACGTAGCAGTATCTTTATTGTTAACAAGCAATAAGGTCCATAGAGTGTTCTATTTCTTTTCAAAATAAGACATAAACTGACACAAGGATAAAGGACTAGTCTGTACAAACCAGATATACGTCGGTAGTGAGTAATATGTTCAAGTTAAGGAGGATTTCAGTTTAGATGATTCTGAAATATTTAAGTTATAAATATGGCCCCAATAATAGTCTGCTACTCTACATGTCTGTAAACATCACATAGCACAGTGGTTCACACAGAACTTATTACATACCTAAGCTCCAACATGGAAAAACAGTATGTCATGTTCATGGTCCCCTTGGATTAAAAAATTGTAAAAATGTGGGGAAACTGCTTAACATAGATAACTCTAAATTCAATAAAAATATAGCTGCTTTAAAGAAAAATCACCCTCAGGGGAGTTTTCAGGGAAGATTACATTTCGAAGGAGCTATCAAGGAACACAGGGAGTAAACAGAGGGATGGAAATCGCTTTCCAGCACAGGGAGAAGCAACATGCTTGTGCTGATGCTCGGCTCCTAAACAAGGAGTCTGGGCTTGAGAAGAAAAGTTCTGTGCTACAAGGAAGAGTCAGGGTTAGGGTGTTCGAGTTGAGATGATTCACCAGAAGTCCCTTCCAACCCAAATGACTCAGTCGAAAGTTATGCTTTTCATTAAATGGAACAGACCCAGTCTGGGTCCCCAGCAAATCAGCCAATGATGTTTGAGGTTTCTGAATCCGTTGGGGTGCCCTCTCTAACTTAAACACAAAGGCTGCCTGCCACCTGCAGCAAGCCATGCTTATCTGGACGATAACACCCACAGACCTCGCTTTCCAACCTCCAACTTACTCATGTTCTAGCTTCATTAATTAAAGTCTTTTGGATTCACAGGTCCAAAAGTTTCACAGACCTGCATTGCCTCTTTTGCATGGCTTGACAGGTAGTGTTATTGTAGTAGTTTCCTCTCCTTTAAAAGTTAGCCCCTAGTTAGAAAAACACCCAAAGCAATTTCCCTAATACTTGGTGTGAAAAGTAACTGGGGAGTAACATGGTTTGATTGTATGTTAAAATTTCTTTCAAGAAACTAGGTTGACTTAGCATAATAGAAGACTAATGTTTTGTTTTACTGTTACTTGGCAGCAATGCAAAAATAATGATTTGTTTTTTAAACTCCGTTTGGCTCTAATAATTTGATGAAACAGCTTCATCTACTGATGATTTCAGCCTCCATGAAAAACCATGGCTGTAATGTGATGATCTATTAGCCATTAATTATAAGAATGTTCTGTGGTAGGTTTATAACCATCTGCTCAGTGTGAGTGTTTGACTACAATATTATATTTCACCCACAAACAAAACTATAACAGAGTCATTGGCTGCTAAATGGTTTTTTGGGTGTGTGTTGTTTTTTTTTTAATGTGTATTTTGCAAGGTGCAACAACAACAAAAAGATTTAAAAATAGCCTTTACGACAATTAGCACTATCTTAATGCCATAACTGTGGACTTAATCATGGCCCATTTACTGTTTCTCAAAAGAGAAAACAGGTATTTCTTAAGCAACTTTAAAGAAAAATTGGCTGGGTTCCAAGACAGTATTTCTTGGCCAAATAAATACAGTATTTAAGTGTGCTTTTAAAAATTCATTCTTAAAAAAAAAATTCACTCTTCATCTATATTTATATATGGATGTTAAGTAAAAGAATTTAATACAAGTCTCAAAATGAGCAAAAAGTCTGAAGACAATTTTCAGAAATACATCAACAAAACGTTGATTCGAAGAATACAATGCAGCTTTATCTTCAGCACAATGTTCTACACAATTTGCCTTAGGAAATTCATAATAGATTTTCACTTTGGTGCCAAGGTTCAGACATGTCTAAAGTAATTTCATTTAAGCATTTTCTGCTCTAATAATAATAGACCAAGGGCACATATAAAACGGTTGCCTTTTTGTACACCTTTGGGAATTTACAAGGAAGCACCATGAACCTGATTGTAAATATTAGATATTGCTATTTTTTACTGTTAGCGTAAAAGTTCTCCTTAATTCTTTCTCCAGAGGCAAAGTCTTCTCAGTTCTCAAACTTTATGGTTTTCTCATCCTGAACACTGAGTCTGCAGCTTAAAGCTGCCCAAAGACAGTGATACACACATTAATGAACTGCTAGGTCCAACAGATTATGAAGATAGTATTACTCTACCACTCTTCCATCTTTCCGTCAGACAGCATAGTGGTATTTATCTGGTGCACTCAGATGTACGATTATTTTAAAGTCAAAATTATCCTTAAAGGAATCACCAAATGGGAATGCCAAAAATACAAGTTTTTAGTCTATACATTGCAAGTATGTGTCCAGATTAAAGAACTGTTAGCAATAATTCCGAGAGAAAAAAAAAGCCTCCACACCTAATACCCATTTTGGAATCAAGCGCTCCAGCGTTGCTGAACTGTATCAATACTAAAGTTGGAATTGTGCCATTGCAAAGTTGTTACTACTTTCTTATATAATATGCCTTCATTATGTAATGTGGTCCCATTTTATATGCCTAAAATTATGTCATTCATAATAAAATTAGACGTAAGGCTTTTGCTTTTCACACACCAGTTGCCACCCACATTCAGTATGCAGAGCAGTGCTCACAGACAAATGCTCTCCCCTGGACCCCTCAGCTTCCTCTGGGATTCCTCGGGGTTTCAAAACCTTCCCAGATCCTGAAAGTAAGTAACCTTTTTCTTTCACTAGAGTCAGACAATCTTTGCTTAGAGAAGATTCTTAAAAAAAAAAAACAAAAAACCCTAACAAACAAAAAACGCTCCCTCTTATGGAAACTCACATAAACTGTGTCTCTTGCCTGTCTCTGCCGGAGGGTCCCCAGTTCTCGCGCTGGGTTTGAGGACCCGGGCTCAGCGCCCCCCGGCTACCTGCCGGATCCCCCAGCTCCCTAATCCGGGCGAAGAGCATCAC